GGGGGGGGGGGATTGCCCCTCCCCTGACGGTTTTTACCGGGCTGACCAAGCCGTCGTACCGGGCTGGGTAATAAGAGAAAAGAAAGAGGGGAGAGGGAGGAAAAGAGAAAGAAGAGGAAAAGAAAAGGATAGAAAAAGAGAAGAGAAAAATAAAGACAAAAATAAAAAAGGAAGATATCATAATGCCCAGACTGACAACACCCTGTCAAAAACACCACTCAAAAACTCCACTTCAAAAACTGTCATAACTCCTTTGATCTATGCTGCCCGATGGCGTAACCACTGGGGGACAAGTGGAAAATATCCATCTTTGGAAAATCTTTCCCCACCCCTTGACAAATGCATCCTCTGAAAGTGCCTAAAATTCTCAAATTCCTTGCGCGCATTTCTTGTTACGGTAGGCCAATTTCTTCTATAAATTGCACATTTTAGGGAGTTTTCATCAATTCCGGCGAAATTAGAATTAAAAACACAAAAATATTTTTCGCGCTTGGCGCGCATTTTTTAAGGCTTTTTTAGTTTTATCCTTTTAAGTTATTTAAACACATAATTCCCAAACTCAAGAAAGACAAATTTAAGATAGATCATTTTAACCTAAAAGAAGGGCAACAATGTGTATAGATGATGAAAGAATATGTTTGTAATAAATAAAACCATGATGAAAATGCTTATATTTAGTTTCAAACTATTATTATTATTATTATTATTATTATTATTATTATTATTATTATTATTATTATTATTATTATTATTATTAGGCCCTATTATTATTATTATTATTATTATTATTATTATTATTATTATTATTAGGCCCTATTATTATTATTATTATTATTATCAAAACTACTCTTAGGGCCTATTAAATATTTGAATTCCATATGAAAGAATCGTGAATTTTGTTTATAAATTCAATGTTATTGTTGCGTGCACATGCTCGTAGTAGGGCCTAACCATTTGTTAAAGATCAGTTTTTTCGTCAAATAGTAGACTATTTGTTGCTGTGTCACTTTTACATATAATAATTTAGTTCAAAAGTGTGTCGATTAAAAAATAATTACAGTACTGTAATAATATTGAACTTTGTATGATCAGGGAGTTGTTCTAAATAACAACTCCCTGGTATGATATACCGGTAAATGTCTGTAACCTTTACTATTCAACATACCGTATATATTATGGGATGGTTTATAGGTGTTTTTTATTGCGACACTCTATTGGTGTCTCCTACACTGTTGGATTCTGGCATAAATGAATGAATGAATGTATTTTAGAAATCAATATGAATCAATATTTTTTAATAATAATTCTTAGGTCGTATCATGGAGATGATGTAAAATATTTTCACGAGAAGATGTAGGCCTAACTGCACTCTGTATATTATTAGTACAGAGACTTATGTCGCCCTCTATCTATATCACGTGTCAGCCTAGCCCTGAAAATATTCTCCGAAAGACCCATTGGAAAGGCATGGACGGGCCCCTCCTTTCGGAAACTCAGGGGCCCATAACAACAGAAGCAGAAGAGGCTTCTGCGATAGGAAGTTCATCACTGAAATTAGGAGCGACATTAACTAAAAAAACCACGAGAAAACAGTCAAAAAACAGCACTTGGATCGAGAATGTGTCATTTGAAGATAGCGATAGATCTCAGTTTCGAATTCAAGATGGCGGAGCAGGTGCATTCGATGAAAGGGCAAGCGAAGAATCATTTTTGCTGCCGACTACATCGGCGGACGATTCAATGGTGGCTGCTGAACGAACAAGTATCATTCTTTGTGAAGCAACGGGGCAATCCACCATAGATATTGCAGACATGTTAAATAGTCAAGACTCTGGAATTTTATCAGCAGGCGATGACAGCACATTCACATTAACTGGTGAGCAATCTCACGCAAAATTGATTATAAACAAGTCTGTTGAAATGAAATCAAACCCGGAAGTACATTCTGGGATGTCTGCAAGCTGTGACGGTTCAGTGGAGGAAGCGAATGCGGCAAATTTTAAACTCCCGAATGTAAACAAAACATTAAATGCGAACAACGCAATCAGAGCTAACAGTTTTGACTTAGAAATGACAAATTTAGGCTTATCACAAGATGTTAATGGTGAGACAGGGTTAGCTCCAATATTAACTGATGCAGAAATGGTTCAGATTGATCATGATGGGAAAGAATATGAGGTTGATGCAAAATCCTGTAGCACAGATGTGGGTACAGCAAATATTGGGCAGGTGCTGATTGATACAAATCAGCTTGCAGTTGCTGTAGAGTCACTGAATGGCGCAACCATTGATACATCTGGAGTTGCAACACTCAACCCTAACGTACTGCAATTAAATATTAGCAATATCTCGCCTGTTTCGCTCAGTACGCTCGGAAATGGACAAAATCAGCCTCTAATTTATTTATTAACTAGCCAAGAGAAAACAACCGGGTCGGTTCAGAGGTTCCGTGTCTCAATGGATCAAAATACATCCTCATCAACTGTCAGTGATCTCCAATTGGAGATGGCAGATGCTGTTGATTCAAACAATACAACTTTAGAAGCTAACAAATTGTTAACACACATTACAGAAGGGAAAGATGAACGTCATAATCATGAGACAATCGAAGCAAGTGCACTTCTTGATGGTGAAGCGCAGACAGCGCCAATGTTGTCAGTTCTCGATGTTATTCAGCTTAGCGATGGTAATCAAGCATTTGTTCTGGATGGTATGTTTTTTTTTGGGTTTTGTTGGGAAATTTGTGTTAAAAAATAAAAAGAGTGTTCAAGCATTTTTGTATTCGCACTAGTAAAATACTAAACATAATGAAGCAGCTTCAGTACAGTTAAAACATGCTTAAGTCGACTTTGCCTAAATCAAATAATTTCTAAGTCGATCTTATTTTACATGCCAAATTGTTGTGTTTTCCATTAATTAACAATTTGCAAGTCAAATTTTATCTATTTCGTACAATTTTTCAATGCCATTTTGGATTCGACTTTAAAAGCATGTTCAACTTTATACTATTAATCAATCTTGCCCACGTCTGTCTGGAGTACAGTAGTCAGTTGATTGGTTAACCAAAAAGATTATAGCAGCAATAATATATAAAATGATTATATAATTTCATCAGCATTATTTATCTAATAAATAATTATTAATAAAAGAAACATTTGGTACCATGAATAGTATATGCACTTTCTTTCTGTATTATTATTATTTGCACTAATTACCTGTAAAGGCAATCTACTCCAAAAACAAAACAAAACAAAAAAAAAAAGAAAGAAAACAAGGAAAAGAATCATAAGATGCTGTGTCTTAAATTGTTTATTTTTTTTCTTGTATAGCATTTAACAACATGATTATTATTTGCTTGTGTGGCTGTCCTCATTTTGAAGACTGTTGGCTGTTTTTGAAGTCATATAGGCCTACTATAATATACTGTACCTTTAATATATGCCTTAAAAACAGTTAAAAATAATACGTAAAGTAACCCAATTATATTTGTAGGTAATACTACCACCACCACTACAAGCACACCAGTGGAAACCATCAAACAAAAAAAAGAACCAAAGAAGAAGAAAAAGAAAGTTAAGGTAGAGTTACACACGTGCCAAACCAATTAAAATATTGAATCAGAATCAGAGTTGAATACTGTAGCTTGGTGGTAAAGATGCTTGCATTTCAATCCCAGGTCCTGGGTTCAAATCCTGTCATATTCCAAGATTTTTTCTCACAAAAAAAACAACTTCACTCCATGCTCTATGAAACTTACTGTAGTTTATGTGTAGAGCATTATATGTACTGCATATACAGTAGGGCCTATTTGTCATTTGAAGGGGGATTGCCACCCTACTGTGTAATACTGGACACTGATGCTTAATACCCTATTCAGACTACACTCTTTTGCGATCGGTTGCGATGTAATCAGTGGTAATCCAAAACTGATTACTCCGGATCGCAATCAACGAACGCATTCAGACCAACACAAACAAACTTTACATTCTAGGGCCTAGGCCTCCGGTGGCTAGGCCTATGTTGCCTGACCTCAGCCAAACAGTGCCTGTGGAATTCGTTGTGATTCGTTGCGATCAGATTCCGTGGTAATGGTAATCGGGAGTAATAAAGATTGTAGCACCCAATCGCAATGGGTAACAATTGCGATATCGATTACATATTGACTGCTATTGGTGAGCTTTCACACACGATTTTACTTTGCGATTGGGTGTCGCAATTGCTACAACCGATCGCAATGCGATGCTAGTCTGAATGGGGTACAGTATAAGTCGCTTTTGGTAATTCTTGGCCATGTGTATAAAGAAATGTGTAATCAGAATTAGTAAGTTAGTTTTTACGTAAATTTGTGTATCATCGTTCTTGTTCTTGTAAAATGTTACTTTTTATATTTTTGTTTGTACTGATTGTTAACAAATTGTTTGAATTTTAATTTCTATAAAGAATTTTAATGTATTGTAAATCACATGCAATTCAGTGTCAATTTTACTGCTGCTTATGATTAAAATAAAATGAAATGAAATAATATTTTAAATTTTAGGAGGATGAACAGGAGCAAAAATGTGAAGAATGTGGAGAAATGGTAGCGAATAAAGCAAAGCTAAAAGTCCATCTTCTGTCACACAAGACAGACAGGCCGTATAAGGTAGTCAGGTTTTTTTTTTTCTTCATCCAAAAGTAATTAATTCATGTAATTCAGCTATTTGCTGCAAGATGAGTTTTAATCAAATTAAATTTGAATTGCAAATTACAAGATGAATCTTGTGATGATTCGTTAATAAAGAGAGGTTTGCACACTGCACAACTTGGAATCAAACCAGTGGTATAAAAGAATATATGTGGTTTGGAGAAAAAAGCAAATTGTTTCGGAGGACCTTTAATTCTGGTTACACCAGAAAAAATGTAAAAATAAATGTTTATTTTATATTTAGAGATGTATCAAAGTAATTATTAGGAGAAATAAGACAGACAAATGTATGCGTGATAGACATTACAAGATGAAGGCAAGTAACAATGGAGAAAGTTATACACTTAGTACAGGAGGAAAAAGCAAAAATATTCAAAAAGATCGTAAAGTCAAGCATTGTGATTTGTATAATTTGTACTACCTGTATGCAGAGTGGTAATTTCACCGTGATGATTTATTTCTTTATGTAGTAGTATAGATTGGATGTTTAGATACATGTGTTAATTATTTGATATCTCAATGTACAGTATATTAATGATTTCAGTATTTGTTAAATTTTTGAATACAGTGTGAAGTAGAGGGCTGTGGCTGGTCTTTTCAAACATTGTATAAACTAAAGCGACACAAGATGGGACACGGCGGCAATAAACCGTTTGTAGTAAGTTGATAGTTAATTAGATTGGATTTATCATTGTCACACATGAACTTAACTTTCTTCTGAGACTTTTTTGCCTGACACCATCCGTTAATGGAAACGGCTGCCCCAACAACGGGTGAACAGTGAATCACTTAACTGTTTCAGCAACAGTTTGAGGTCATCATATCTCTACCTTCGAAAGTAATCAATAATGATGTGAAAAAAAGAAGAATAAAAAGCTAATTGAAAAATATTTTGCACAAGCCTCTTTATAATACCTATTTTTGTTGAGAACGCATCGGACAAACTTGCATCCAGTGTGGGCACAGTGATACGTAATACACCATTGCTGGTGGTCTGTAGATTTTTTGGAGAAGAATAAGAACTAATTTGTTTTGGAAACATTTCTGTTATTCTAAGTGATGGACCCTTTTAAACACTTGGTTTAAAAAGTTGTAATTTCATAAAACCAAGATCAAGAAAACCCTCAGAAAAATTGTAATTGAATTGTTCATTTAATTAATTAAGTTTGCTTTGTCAGCAACGGGTCAAAACAATTAATTTTTTGCTGATTTTCAGACGTTTTATCTTTAATCCAGTCTCAACTTTCAGCTCCACAAAGTTAATCTACATCTTCACATAGGCCTATCTAATTTATAGATCCATGAGTTGTACCATTTTTCTATTAGATATCCCTTATTTTTTTCAATATTTGTTAATCTAGTGCAGAGTAGAGAATTGTGGGAAGCCCTTCACCACCATCTATAATCTCAAGATCCACATGAATACACACTTCCGCCAAAACCTTGAAGTTTGTGACGTAGAAGGATGTGAAGAAGTTTTCAACTCTAAGGCCAAGCTTCAAATCCATCAACGTAAACACTTCCTAGATCAACAGTTACAGTAAGATTCAAGATTAATTTTATTATATTGTCCATTTGGAATTCTAGGTGGAAAATTTTAATTGCAATGTAAAAAATACAGAATACTATACAGTATAGAGGTAATGATGAGTTTAATTGACATTATTATATTGTTGATTAATGTCAATAACTCAAATCTATTGAAATGATTTGCTTTACAAGAAAATGTAACTTTTCAGGGTTTAATTGAAGAGTTAAATTAATTTAGCACACGTTAATAGTTGTTAGTCCTTATTTGAGCATGTAATCCTAGTTGAAGTTAGAGAGCTCATCTTCTAATAATATATTAACCCTGGGTAAGAATCTAGGAAACTCAATTCTCTAAGCCTCATGATGAGTTGTTTACATGCTAAATTTTGAGGTGGTAGATTGTAAAATGTTTCTTCTGCTCATTAGGTGTACGCATCCTGGCTGTGACAAGACCTTCACAACTACCAGTGCTCTTGGGTCCCATCAGCGCATTCATGAGCGAGACCAGCATTCGTTTCCCTGCCTTGTTGAGGGGTGTGGTAAGGTGTATGAAAAGAGTTGTAGGCTGAAACTACACATGATGTCTCACACAGGAGAAAGACCTTTCAAATGTACATTTGAGGTAATTTACTTGATTTTTGTCTTTCAGCATTTAGTAGATCAATTACAAGATGGAATCAGCTTTTCTCATTTCATTGTTAAATGTTAATCTGCCTTTATGCTTCATTGAAAACTAGGAACCTCTTCTAAAATTTTGAAACTTCTAAATGTTATAAATTTTTTAAACATTTAGTTTGTTACGATTATGTGTTGTATAATTTATTTCTTATTGAATGCCTGCCATTTGAATGAAGTATTCTTGGTTATTCCATCATATTATTTTGCTTGTGTCAATGTATTTTGATACTAAATGTATTTGTGTCGACTTGCAGGGTTGTCAGTGGGCGTTTACTTGCATCCAGAAACTAAAGCGACATTTGGTGCGTCATACAGGTGAGCGCAAGTACATGTGTAACCAAGACGGCTGCAATAAGATGTTTACTCGACTAGAGCATCTCAAGGGGCATTTAGTATCACATTCTGGTGAAAAGCCCTATAAATGCACTGTGGAAGGTTCGTAAAAGTGTTTCTATTTTCTAATTGCTTTTATTGAACTTAGTTTATTCAGTGCTCATTATTGTTTTTACTTTTAATTATTACTAGTTTAAACATTTCTCTTGATTATCAGGTTGTTTACATTTTGCTCAATATAAATATTTATTCAATGTAGATTTCTACTGATCCCAAAAAATTCTTACATCCAATGTAATGTGGTATTTACACATTTTCAATACGCCTTTTTCACGAATCGGTAGACATCTTGAAGTGATGACAAACATTGCGAATCAGCGGTGCGTAACCAACAGAAATAAGATAAGCTTTTGGGCTGATTTTCTGACATCATGTTATTTAAAAAATCATAACTCCATAACGGGGTGTCATATCTCATAAAGTGTTTCCAGGAAAATGTTCTTAAAAGACCAGTCTACACCACTATATGATTGAAAAAAAATTGAAAAATTTTTTTGACCTCTGAAATCAAGATTGAAAAAGAAAAGCCTATCTTAGTAGTGTATTAAAATAGGCCAATGCATTACAGTGCAGTAGCATAGGACTTTCGAGTTGTTACTGTTCCAAGTAGCGATAATATACATATTTCTCTTATTACAAAGTACAAGTTATGTTTTATAAAGAGGTATAGTATAGTAAATCATGTTTTTAACACAGGAAACTCTCATATGGTAACTAAAACAATGCTAGTTCAGAGTATTACTAGTACTACAGCACTGTGGCATATACCTATTTTAATACACTACTGCAGACCTTGATTTAAAGAAAAAGCAGGAGAGCTACTAACAGCTCTCCTCAAGAAATTGAGGAGAGCTGNNNNCCAACGGGTACACTACCAGCTGACCGGCTGTCGTGAATATAGTGCTTTTGTAATGAAACTTGGTATTTTTGTTGCTCCCCTAGAAAAATTCAGGAGCGCTATTGATTGCTCTCCTCGCATAATTTCGAGGAGCGCGGAGGAGCGCCGGCGCGATCGCGCGCCTTTTAAATCAAGGTCTGTACTGAGATAGGCTTTTATTTTTCAATCTTGATTTCAGAGGTCAACAAAATTTTTCAATTTTTTTTCAATCATATAGTGGTGTAGACTAGTCTTTTAAGAACATTTTGCTGGAAATTTTTTTTGGATACGACGCCCCTGTATAGAGTTATGATTTTTAAAATAACATGATGTCAAAAAATCCGCCCAAAAGCTTATCTTATTTCTGTTGGTTACGCACCGCTGATTCGCAATGTTTGTCATCACTTCAAGATGTCTACCGATTCGTGAAAAAGGCGTATACAATTTAGTACAAAGTGGGAAGGTGCAAATATAGAAAGGGCTCACACTGCACCAATGCCAATCACAGGATATCAACTCAGAGTGTTTATATGTTGAAGAGAGATAGAAGGATGAATGAGAATTAAATTATGAGAACTTTGGAATTCTGTCCATAGGCTGCAATGCAAGTTTCTCTGCAAGGAGTTCGCACTACATGCATGTGAAGCGCCACAAGATGGGTAAACCAATAAAGGAGAAGTACACATTCTGCTGTCCATGGGATAATTGCGAGAAGATGTTCTCGTCAAGGATGGGTGTCAAAAACCATGTGATCAAGACTCATGGTACACCACTTTCATGTAAGTCTTGGAAGGTTTTTTCACCTGGTACTGGATCTCTGCCAGGCTTGTCCAAGAATGTCCATAGCATTCTTTTTTTTTTCATGCTTTGTCAGGGGATTCAAATCTGGATCGATTATTGACAGTCTCCAGAGTGGCATTAAATCATTAAGTTTTTGTTTTCTACCAGTCATTGGACACCACAGAATTGGTTAGCATTGTATTATCTTTTATGACCTACATTTGTTTGTTAAATATACATTTATACCTTATCATTTTTAAAATTTACTAGTTTATCAAAACTAACATGATCTGTGATTGAAAACCTGAGAATATTCAGGGTTGTTAATTTGCAAGACCCATAGTTAGTGTACAAATTTCTGTTAGGAAATGTAAATTTATTAACTGAATCAATACAATATTTACATTCTTATGGTTTTTTTTTTCTGTTTGCCAGTTGATAATGAAATGGTGTTTGTGAAGCTGAATAAAGATGATGGTAAAGAGGAGGAACAGGTAGAATCAAGTAAGGAACTCTGTTGTCAATATTTAGTAATGCATGAAATGCAAGAAATTAATGTGCTTACAGCATAAGCAATATTTCTAGTCATGTTGTATTGGTTAAAGAGACCAATGGGACAGACCAATGCAATCATTACCAAAACATGATGATGATTATATGAGACAAAAGAAAACATGAATGAAGAGGTGTGCAGAATTCCAGACCAACTTAGAAACTATTCTTTTTACATGTAGAATAATAATGTTTTCAAATAGTAAAGAGGAGCGAAAGCGAAAAGAATTAGAAATTAAAAAAACGAAGGAAGAAAAAATCTAAAGTAATGATTTACATCGATTATATTTTTACCTACAGGTCTGGCAAGCACTCAGGTACAACAGATGACATCACCACAGTCAGTTGATCTATCCCAGGTTGCATCACTCCCCCAGGGCACAGTCGATATAACTGAACTGATTACAAATGCTGGGGAGATAGATAAACAGTTACTATTACCTTCACTACCTGTCAGTGTACTTACTCAGGCAGCAGATGCCAGCATGATTACTAACTACACATCAACTCTGGGCAACAACCTCTGTGTCACTGTACCTCAAGTAGTAGATACTCTGACAGAGGATGTCAGTGCCAGTCGAGTGCGATCAAAGATTATACAGGAGAACCAGAGTGGCTCAGCAAGAACAGACTTCATTGCCTTGCCAAAGGAGATTAGAATTAGAGAGATGGATAGTCGATCTGATCTTGTCACATCTGAGACAGGTGAGTTTATGTAAACATCAATAATAAATTTTCTCCGAGATGAAAATACTTTTCAATGACTCATAAACTTGTCTCATCCGAGTTTTGGTACAGATCATTGAGTTTTTGGTAATCATAGAAGTACTGTAATTGATTTATCATTATCAGTAATTATTCATTTTGACCAGTTACTAAAATTGTCCAATTTTATGTATGGTTCATGGTAAATATTATTTTATGGAATTAAAGATCAAATCTAATAAATGTTGAATTTTTTTATGTTTTAATCAAACATAGTCAACTTTTCAATATTTTGCTGTTATTTTGTATGTGAATTTTAAATTTTCTATAACTTCCTTAGTAATAGTAATCAACATCATTATTGTTTATACTATTAACGATTTACAGCTTATATTGTAAATTTAGCTACGGATTTAGATGGTTGTACTGCAACTTCTTCAAATTAAATTATTTTAATTTGTTATTGCATATTTAAAACTTGCAGTGAAGGTTTCAAGCAACTCAACTTTGTCGTTTTCATCGTCAATATTTCCATTGAGTTCTGTGTCGACTACAGGTCTGACCCTCCGTGACCCATCCACAGGGACGCCTTATGTCCAAACTCAGCTTTTACAGGTTGGTTACGTACTTTCAAATATTGAGCGTAATGTAGATCAGTGCTTTCCTTTAAATCCAAGGGTACCGGGTGTGTTCATGCCAAATTTTGCTACTATCATAAAATGATACTGTTTATGTTTGCCTAATAATCTGGAACAATAAATTAGTTTATTGTACGTAAATTATTGATTGATAATTTGTATATTTAATTGTATAGTACTCTCTTTTCATAATAATTTTCTGTATGGCTTTTGTGATTGTTCCCCATGATCAACATACAGCTGTTTTGGATCACCCTTGTTAAATAAAATTGAATGAAAAAAAACCAAAAAAAAACATTTGTGATTTGCTTATGTTATCTAGGCAAGTTTTTAGCCTCCAATTGAAAATACCAACAAAGAATATTTATCTAAATTTTTAACAGTTACATAAATATAACTCCTCTGTTCATAAACCCTCAAATTGGCTGGTAATGATTTCAACCTATTCAACCCAGATAAAAACATTAAAAATATTGCAATCATCAGCAATTGTAGTAATAACAGAATAATAATAATAATAATAGGATATGATTTTATATACTGTTGTGATTATTAATTAATACCAGATTCATGTCTTTCCTTTTCCCTGCATGACTGTTGTCCAAGCCTTTTTGGTTTTTAAAATTTTAATTTAAAAAAAAAATATGCTGTTATTAATATTATATGTTGTCTAAGCTTGGAAAATGAAATTAACATTGAGCAAACTTCCTTCACTTCTAATAATACAGATCTCCCTCAAAGACCACTTTTGGGACCTGGGCTTTCATGGTCTTTAGCAGTGTTGGTCTCTAATTAGAATAATAAAGATAAAAGATAGTTGTTAATTTGGGACCACAGAAAAGTGGACTTTAATTGGAGGGGTCTTTCATTAGAGGGAGGCCTGTATATAGATTTATTTAATGCAAGAATGTCTTCTGCTAATATTTTGCTACCAATCTTGTCCCAAATAGTAAAATGTGTTTTTTTTTTAATTTGTTGTAGGATGATCCACCTGGAGAGGGTGATGTTGCCTTCCATCTATCAACAACAACTGTATCACCTCATGCTAGTCTGGTCAATCAGCTATCAGTATCCATATTACCAACAAGCATTAACCAATCACAAGATGCAGCTAAAACTTTTCTGAATACAGGCTCTAGAGTTACAGATTTTACTCAGAGCACTATTAATTTGCAAGATTTAGAATGACAGTATAATAAAATAAATAAAATATTATTGTAAAAAATATATTAACTTATTTAATTTGCCTGGGTAGCTTAAGTACAGATTAACTTCAAAGGTTCTATACATTTTCTTGTCCTTGGACTTGGTAGTACCTTGGATAAAAGGGAACTTGGCATGTATATCCAATTCAGAAAAAAATGTTACACATCCCATGGTAGGGAAAATTTTAGCATGCAGCCCTGCTACTTTGTATTTGTGTGAAAGTGCATTTGTGCAAGAAAGCAAATCTCCTGTGTAATATAGTACTGTAATATCCGTGCAAGGAAAAAAATAGATGCCACAGATAGCTGTAACGCTCTCGAGATAACGTAGCATGAATCTGTGCATGCTCATGGGATGCAGCGTATTACTCACCGTGTTGGCATATAAATGACCGTGCAGTATTTTACTGATTCTTAAGGTGTAAACTCACTTGTGTTCAAACGACTGATTATCTTTGGGAAAGTCTGTAACATTTAGTATGGGTCCTATGTAACACTTTGTCTCATGTGAATTGGGTTTAAAGGTTGTTTTATTGTCGCTGTGACAGTAGGAATATCTGTAAAATCTATATAAATAACTGACAGCCCAGTGATTAATCTTGCACTATGGAAAAGGTGTTTGTTAATACATTATCTAAAATGAATTTGTTGATAATCAATTAAACATAGGATGCCTGAAATATTACTTGTTACCCTATTGTTGGCCAGCATTCACTACAAGGAACTTAGTACTGTACTGTATAAATGCTAGCAATTATAAATTGTCTATTTTCAGGATTAAGAGATTAATAATAATAATAAATAATAATAATAATAATAGTGTAGTTTATATAGCGCCAAATCCATGTAACTTCAGATGCTCAGGGCGCTTGATATGTGGACTAGGAACTTGATCAATCTTCAAAGAAATTAAATAACCATGGTTTGTGTCACTGTATAATGCAAGATTTTATTAATACTTAATTACAATTACATATTTATGTAAAAAAAAAAAAAATATATAGTCAAACCAGGGTAAGTAAAGCAACAAAAAAAAAAGGAGTTGCTCAAAGTGAACACAATATAGGCATAGGTCTTACCAACTAAGGGGTTAGTTAATTGCAACTGGGTCTTAGGCTGTTTTCCACTAGGCGAATTTATTCGCGCGAATCAAAAATTTGTATCCACACACATGCACAATTGAAGAACCTTGTGATGAAAATTAAACTGCAAATTCGTATATGCGAAACTTTTTAATTCGCACGAATAAATTCGTCTAGTGGAGAACGGCCTTTTAGTCCAAAAGTATTTCTGATGTACAGTATTCTTGTACAGTAATGTATCGTTCAGTGTCTCCATCTAAATTGTACGTATTTTCTTCCCATATTTTACCAGACAGTATGTCCTATTAAGCTGGGCAAAGACTGTTGGTCTATGAATCTATCTTGGCATTCTTTGAGCACTTCCCTGTGTGCAGATCTCCATTATGCACACCGACTGATCACTGATTATAATAGTGAAGCCACTGACGCCATCTTGGGAGCATAAAACGTCACAAATACGTCATCACAGCACAAAACTTTTGAAGGCTGCACAAACAGGTGTGTTGATTGGTTAGAGGATGTGAACAAAAATCATTTGCAAAAAAATTTTATTGCAATAATCTTTGTTTTTAAAATTAATTTAAACAAATGCCAAAAAGAAATTGTCTAGGTTGGTATGTCACATGGGCTCTTGCATATGTTGTCTGTGGCTTCTTTCTGTACAATGATTGGCCAATAAGCAATGCCCAGTTAGTTTGTGTGCCCAGCTTTAAGTTGCTGCAGGTGAACTTACTTAGTATGGTGGTCAAAAATGAATAAAATAAATACATATAATAAATGAAACATGATGGTTGGTTGTTATGGTGTTCATTGTGATGTGACAGAACTGTCAAAAATAGTAAACAGACTTCACATTTACAGATATGTACAGTTTATTTTTCATCAAGGCTTTATCAGTGATATCTTAACACCAAATCAAATGATGTTTTGAGCTGTTTCAAACATGCAAAGCTAATTTTGAAGTGGGGCTGTAGCTTGGTGGTGAAGGTGCTTCCCTTCTAACATCAGGGACCTTGGTTCAAATCTTCCTAGTTTATTGTTTTCTCTTGACAAAAAAATAGCTCTATTCCGTAAGAATCGTAATAGCCCTATAGCACCTTTCTAAATACAGTTAAATAATAAATAATATGGGATAAAATTTAAATATACACAGGGCGAAATTTTCTCTTAAATTCCTGTATTAAGAATAAGTTCATCTTCACTAGCGATTAATTTGGTCAGAAAGTGGCTCTCTCATTAGTTAGCATCATACACGCATTAGAACCACGTTCATCCTGTGATTGATTGTAATAACCATACCCAGGGCTAGCTATCCTTAATTGGCTATTACCAGTTTAAGCACATGCTTACATGACTGCACAGCTGTTCACCACATAACCATCTTCAGAAGTGCATATGTCAGGCACCAGTAATTAATATGCTAATAAGCAGCCAATTTGTAGCTTGAACTGCGCATGCCAGTATTCAAGGATAATCGATATAAACTTATGTTGCATGTATATTTATGTCAATTGACCTTGACATGGGCATGCACAGTTTAAACTACAAATTGGCATTACATGATAGACTTTTCAATCCCATAATTCAATTGTATCTGATATCAATAGATACAGTACCTTAAAATAATATAAAGTCCATGGAAAAACTTTACAAAATGTACAAACATTTCGAAGAAAGGTAGGTAAAGTCATGTCTAGACTATAAAATTTCATTTGACAAGAACTTGTGACATGCCTAAATATGGTCATGATGACATCACATCATGACCATATATAGGCACATCATGACTATATATGGCCATACAAATTGAATATTTGATAGTGTGGACAGAGCTTTAGGTTAGTTGAAGACTCTTAAGGCACCAGTAATTAATATGCTAATAATTACATAATAGACCTATTAATCCCACATTTTAAGTGTATCTGATATTAATAGCTACAGTAACTTAAAATATTATAAGGTCCATGGAGAAACTTTACAGAATGTACAAACTTGGAAGAAAGGTAGTATGCAAGTCATCTTGACTGTATTTCAATGAATCAAATTTAAACAATCATGATTGCTTTCATCAGTTTTTATCAACCATACTAATGTTCTCAAAATACTGTACAATACAATATATTTATATAAACATATGTACCATAGGTGGCAGCATGGTTGGGTGGGCCTGGTAACCTCAAGTGAGCGAGGGCCTCCTTGGGGTCCAGGGGCCCTTGAAGAATTAGCAGTCTTTTACATAATGTAATCTACTGTTTTTGCCTATCGGATCAATCAACACTAATTTCATTTTAACCATGTTGTTAAAATGACAACAAAGGAGTATCGTATCTTAATCTCCTCTCTGACCAAAATTGCCAATTGATGATTCAAGCCACGTTCAAATTTGGCAGTTTTTTGGTCAAAAACAATATACTGTTTTAAAATCAATTGTTGGGCCGTACAGGAGGGTTGGATCACCAACTAAAATCGGCCAACCCAGTGCCACTACCACTGATATGCACTATAATATTTAGTGTACCGTACACTTGGAAACATGATAACCGATGATAGGGAATTATTTTGGTTGCAAATTCCCTGTTTTGATAAATCAAGCAGAAGCTTACACAGTACTTACTCAATAAAATAAGCTAGTTTACAATTCTAAGTCTAGCTACAGCTAACATTATAAGGATATAAAATAAATTTTGTCAAAATGTTGCAATTTAAAATGTTTTTTCTGTACAATACATACCATGGGGTACAATTACATAAGGTAATACATGCATATTAATTACATATTTTTCTAAAAAATAAGTAAAATTTTATTTAAAAAAAAGTTGTGGACGGAACAGCGATGGGCTATCAATATCATGCACTTAATTATTACTCCATATTTGGTATAATGGTCACATGATACTCCATATTTAGTATTCTAATGGTCACATGATACAATCTACTACGGATTTATTATTCCATATATGGTATTCCAATAATGGTCACATGATACAATCAATATATGGCATTATAATTCCATATTTGGTATTCTAATGGTCACATGATTGGTTACTAGCATCATTATGACTTTTGCACCTTATGTGGATGTGATTTAGCATATAAAATTCAAGGTATCTATTTCTTAACTATGTTCTTGGTTATACAACCATTCACTTTGGTTTCATTCAATGAACACAAAATAAGATTCTAAGAAGTTTATTAAAATTAGCACCAAGCACAGTAATACTGTTTAATTAAAATCAATTGTAGCATATAAAAATACAGTATTCCTTTTAAAAAAATAACCTTTGTGGTTTCACTCTTATTGGAGAGTTTCTGGGTACAGCAACCACACACTCCAACATTATGATAATGAAAATCGCCTTACAATTAATTACAAAAACAAATGTAAAGATTCATTTGATATGATGTTATTGTTTATAAACTTTACCATATATTTCTTTCTTCCCACCATTTTTAAATCTTTACCCTGTTAACTGGCTTGTTAGCACCATGTAATGTTCGATAGATAAACTTGTATATAAAATATGCTATAGTAATACAGTGGACGGTCATTTAATTCAAAGTGTTTACCTTATCATAAAAATAAACTGTATCCAGCACCATAAATATTGTTGCTACTTAACTACAATTAATCAGCAATGATGCTTAAATCCATTTAGCCTTCTAAAATTTGTTCATTGGTACTAAATGTTTGACCTAATCAAACTATCAATAACGTAGATATAATTAATCTAATTAAAAGTACTGTCATTATATCGTATGAAATAATTCACAGCAACAAACATGACACTGACTTTGATCTACGACCTCCGGGCAAGAATTAATACTGGCACTAGCAACCCGATAAAGTAAAATCCATTTTGTGTATAAGAGTTGTAAAATGCATATCACAAATGGCTTACTTCTGATAATTTTAAAATCGAAATGATTTTGCTATTTAATAAAACAAAAACTGCAACATTATATAACTTACATCAGCAGATTCATCTTCCTTGATGCAACATAAACATGTTATAACTTGTAAATACTTAAATTTACATAATATTGTCATTTTTTTTTATTGGTAAGAAGCTTGTGGAAATTATAATTTCAACTTATTTAATTTACAAAATGCAGCTTCTTTTTTTCTTATTGATCTAATGGAAGATATCGTAAATTGATAAAATTAATTAAAAGAAAAAAAACTATGACATCATATCCAGATACTTATTTTCTTCAGCCAAAGTTGATAACATGGAAGACATGTCATTGACGACCATATTGGAAGATGGAGTCATTCCCCTGATTGGCGTTGACATACCTGAGTTGGTTATTCCTTGTTGCATATTCATTCCCCCTCTTTGCATATTCATATTTGCATTAGGCATATTAGTTTGCATATTCATAGCAGTTTGTCGTGCCAAGCTTATGGGGGCCGGGTGAGTTGGGGGCGGCATACTCATATGGTTTGCCGTGTTCATATTTGCTCCTTGCATTCCTCCAGCCTTACTTGGATCACGCTGGCTGACATACGTCTGCTGCATTGGCGCCACCTCTGACAATAGGCTCTCCACCGGGTTGAAAGTATTATCTGGCACAAGCTGTTCCACATGATCCATGCCATCTGTGCTTAGAGATGCAAGTCCTTCCACCATGAGGTCGTTGCAGTCAACAGCTAAGTTGTCGACAGCAGAGTTTGGCTGCGAACCAATATCAACTGTACTTGTGACTTGGTTGCAATCTGGAGACATTTCCATACCGACTGGATTAGATCTCATCTGCATCTGCAGATTGTAGTTCTGCTGCTGGTGTGGTACACCATTGTTCATTCCGTTATTCATTTCATTGTTCATCATATTATTATTCATACCATTGTTGTCTAATATCTGAGCCTCCTGTCTATACTGCAGGTAACTCTGTTGTTGCGTCATAATCATGTGATTATACTGGGGAACCCTGTTCTCATGTTGACCACTAATCGCATCTCCCATGCCATTGTAGCTCATCGAGTTATTTTGTTTTGAATTGTTCATGTACGGTGGAATAGAATCCTCAGGTATCATCATCTCATCCGTTTCCATAGCTACATTCTCTGGGATGGAATTTGGAGGTGGTGATGCAAAACACATGTTTCTTATTCCTTGAACTCCCAGTTTATTACCCATCATTGATTTCATACTCGGCGGGATTGGAAGTGCATTCCGCCGATTACATCTGACCGGATCACTTGCCCTACGGAATCCAGAATTAGGAACCTCATGAGGCAATGGTGTACGTGGAGGCAAGCAAACTCCGGCACTCTCGCACCGGCGTGATGACTTGGGCATGGGCGACGGAGTGTACCGGTCCTCACTCCACTGGTCTCGCATTTTCATCCCATGATCATACATTGCTTGTAGCCGACGTTGCTGTTGGGCTGATAAACCAGGGAGCCCAGTAGGCCCATTCATCATACTTGCCCCACTGGACCTGCGTGATGACCCAGTGGAGATGGGATCATATGGTGATTCAAGCACACTCATCCTGTTAGACATCATCGAAGCACCGGATGTTCTCCTCGAGGACATGTATGTACTTGCTTCGCTGGAACGGCGACTTGAAAATTGGCTACTTGGGAATGGAGATGCTTCAGACGAGCGACGACTGCTGCTGAAGTACGAGCTGCCATTACTGATATTACTGCTACGACGACTGGCCAGATCAAGGTTACCGACAAATGACTGACTGCTGTCGCATCGACTGCCTTCTTCAAATTGTAGCCGCTCAATTGTCCTGTCTTGAGGTTTTGGAGAGCCTGAATATTAGAAATGAAAAAATGTAATGGTAAATTGACTGAAAGTTGACCTAATTAAAAAGCAAACTTCAGAAAAGAGATATCGCTCAAAACCAATCAGAAGGAACCTCAAAAGAGGGGTGGGCATAAAAATGTGACGGACAGGCGAAGTGAATTTTTCATTTAACGCTAAGAGCTGCACACACACACTAACCCCGGTATTCTTAAAACGAACTTTAGTCGTAGTTCGAGCTAAAACTTTAAAATTACGTCATTTCGTATTCTTAAAACGAACTTCGACTAGCACTACGACTAAATGACGTGAACCTCGACTAAAATGATACCTCCGCAGGCCGATTTTTTTAGTCAGCCTAGGGTCAGGCTAAATCGCCGACTTGAAATATTTATCTCAATATAAACGTGTTTTTTGTAACTCACGATAAAGTGAAACGAATAAAAACGATTATATACGCAGGTTTGAAATATCTTCGGTGTGTTAAACAAAAGAGAGATCAAATTTAGCTTCCAAAAGGAGAAATTAACATGTTTCACTAGCCGCATGTGATAGTTCCTGATTTGCACGTAATCCCCTCGCGTTGCAATCACCTAGCTTCACCATAACAACAACAACAAAGATGGCGCCGCCCTCGCTCGGTCTCAACTATAATAGTTCTCCAAAGAAAGCAAATTTTAAGTGTCTGTTCAAATTCTCTATTGTAATATGTTAACAACTAATAAAGTTATTATTATAGACAATTAATTAAGGGAATGATGGTCTATTACGAATTATGAGGAAATACGTTTTTGAACCACAGACGGCAGCTTAATATTCATCCGCGTTACCGGATCTCTAAAATTTCGTCTGCTATTAAAGTTAGCCCTTTTCATTGGTTAGTTTGATAGTCGTGGCTTGCCAGTCGTCTTCAGTTGAACTAAAACTAGGACTTGATTTAGTCGTAGTTAAAACTTCGACTACATTGTTTGTGAATACAAATTGAAGTTAAAGATGCAACTAGCACTAAATGAAGTTCTAGTTAGGAGTTCGACTAAAGTTTGTTTTAAGAATACGGGCGATAGACATTTCATATTGAAATTTTGACGTTTCCAGGGTGCCTGTAGAAACTGTCATTTACTGCTTTTATTCCACTTTATGCTCAGTTTTAAGATTACTTTTTAAAATAATCTGCATCGAGTCATAACAAGGGTTCTAGTAGATGGGTGGCAGGCCCCAAATATAGGTTTATAATGTAATTGATTTTTGCAAGCCTTATCAAAATTGCCATTGGCCACATGTGGCCTAGGGGCCGCACCTCTTCCACATATGAATTAGAAACTTATTCAAAATCTGTGTGCACTATGCGAATGAGTTGGCTCTTATTAGGTTGTTATTGATTTAGTTGGCTCCAATGCCTAATAAAAAATCAGAAAGGTAAGTTAGTACTTACGTGCTGTAACAATGGTTGGTAACGTTGGTAATGTTGGTATTGATTTCTTAACCCTCGCCATCCTGCTACCTGAAGTCGACGACTTGACCTTTTTGCGCCCCGATTTAATTGAAACAGGGTTTCCAATTCGCACGGTATGGGCTGTCGATGTTCCTCCTCGACCTGAAGGACCACTAATGGCTTCCATGTTTGATGATATGTGGTTGTCTTGGATCTTGTCATCCTCTGCCATCATTGTCATTTCAACACCACTGTCATTGTGCGGGGAGGAGCCCCCTTCTGGGATAACTGCATGTAATTCTGAATTTGACCATCCATACTAAAACAAAATAAAAAATTTGTAATTAGTCCTCTTGTATCCTTTATCTTCAATTACTAGTTATTTAAACAATAAAATCACAATCATTTTCATTATTGTAACGTCAATATTAAGTTTATGCCATATTTTTAACTATTCTTCAAGTTGCTTTAACTTGGCTTACTTGTTTTTGTTCTACCTTAGTTCTAATTTGCATAGTATCTAAGTGCTCTGTTTTTGTCAGGCATTCTTTCAGTACAGTATCAGTTTAGACATTAACCAGTAAAAAGCACACTATAGTAGGTAGTGCGGTGTAAAGTATGTGCTTAGTAAGATGAAAGAAGTTCAACCTTATAGTGAGTTAGTTGTTGTTGTACTTATAGTTGTAGTTGCAGTAGTTGAAGTGCTGTTGCTGTTGTTGTCATTATTATTAATATTAAGTCCATTTTGATACACATATTTTGATTAAAATGTTTGGACAAACCTTTTTTTTTTTTGAATAGTCAGATTTTTAATTTTTTTATGTTAAGATCATGAATTTTTGTAACTGGAAACTGCAAATGTTGTCATAATTTGTATTCACTTTATGTTCACTTGGGTAGGTTCTTGTGTAGAGCACTTTATAAATTATAAAAAATAAAATAAAAATGAGGGAAACAAAAAAATCTAAAAACTGTATTAGTAATCGTCTATGTAAAATGAAAGAAGATTTCTAATGTGGGAATTATGTAATATATACACTTACACTTTGAGCCGAGTCATTACTGTCCACACTCAATGGCTTAATGTCTTGGGTGGCTGTCTCATGCCCCTGTGGACTGCGATCCATGTCTTTCTCATCAGAACTCATCCTCCTCCGTCTTCCATTTTCACCATCGTTGCCACGGCTACTGCCGTTCACCATGTCCTTATCCTTGCCCAAGTTATTGTTAGTGTCATTGTTTTTATCACCGCCGTAGTTAGATCCGGGATCTTTCTTGTCACTGCGGTGTTTTTTGGTCACATGGGCATCTGGACCGTGGACCGTCTTAACATGCTTACGCAGTGAGCTTGGGTCAGTATACCTCTTTGTACAGCCAGGAATTTTGCATACATAAGGTTTCTGATAAAAAAAAAAGTTGTGTAAAATATTATAAAAAAGACAAAATATGACCCTCGTATGAGCGAGTCACTGTTTCCTTGTGAGTCAAGTTTCTATTCAACATATCTCCTGTTAATATAAAATTCAGAAATTATAAGTCATGTTCTGAAAGGGTTCCATTAGTCACTTGAATAAGATTTTAAATCAAACAAAGAAAAGATTTTTGATAATTAATAAATGTTATGATGAATCAACAATTTGTTAAACATCAAAATACAATTTCTTTCCTAAACATTTCCTCAATTAAAGCCAAAACACAGGTGACTAAGCCGTGTGGGATAAACAGGAAGCAACTATGGGCTCTAAGTATACTATGTCACGCTATCATGTGACAATTAAAATCGTTGCAGGTGACATACTGGTAACATTCTCATGGTTCTCTTTAAATTTACGAGAACAACGATGAAGATGATGACGATGACTCAACAGATGAAAACGAAAATAAAAGAACCATTAAAGAAATTGATGCAAGGGAAGTCTGTTAATTGGCATTTATCTGTCAATATATCAAAGATTTATTTCTCTACTAAGCCCACACTCTCATTAGACTGGTGATGACAGACACAGGAGGTATTCAGTCATGACCTTTGACCCTACAAATAACAATAACTGTCTCTGATGTCAAATCTGTTTTGATTATGTCATGTCACTCCAATTTGTAATGCTAAACTTGCATGTAGTGTTATCATTAGTCATCAGTCACACCAGCCTGCTGTATATAAAATATATATTTATATTTATATATATATATATATATATTTATTTAAAATGTTAAAGTAGCAGTCCAATTAAATTTCTTTTGTCAGTTGTAATGAAAATATTACATTAAAAAAAATATTTTATGTTTAATACACATAACTATACAACCTAGCCTATTAGAAAGCTGGTGTATTTGCAACAGAATATCATGGACATTTATTTCAAATAAGATTGATGACAGTGGTGGAACCAATGGGGGTAATTAAGCCCCTGTTCGATGAGCCATGACCCTTTGTTGGCCTTACTTGTCAGGCTAAATAAGATAACATTTTATTTTTCTTTTGTAAAAAAAGTCTTCAGACATAATAATATTCTCTAAGGCCCCATAAAAAATTATTAGTTTATCACCCTATCAAAGAATAAAAACTGATGAAGGAGGGAGGATTTTTTTTTTTTTTTTTTTTTTTTTTCCTAACCCCACCCCCATCTTACCCATGTTCACAAGTAAAGCAATGGTTAGGGACACATATATAAAAAGTCATAGGAATGGAATCAACTTTAAAAAAAAAAAATATGTTTTTGTTGTACCAGTAAACATATTTGCAAGAAATCCTGAACTTTTCAAGTGAAAACAGATGGAAAAATGACCGTTTTGAAATAAAAATAATATGTTGATTGAAAAAAAAAAAATCAGAATTTCCTCAAAACTGATGAGTGAGGGAGGGGGTGATAAACTAATATTTTTTTTATGGGGCCTAAGGGAAAATTAAAATGGCCCAAAATTACCCAGTTCTTCCTAGAAGAAGACATGTTCCCTTGGACTCTCACCATGGATTTGCCCCTGGACCCTTTTAGACTCTCTTGATAGACAGCTTCATCACCCTCAATATACTTGAGTGAATCTGTTTATCAAGAGCATTTAATAGCAAAAATATTTCAATAAAATAAACAATATTTAAAAATTGGCTTACTGCATTGGAATGTGTTCTATTCTGATGTTTAGCTCTGTCTGATGCGTTTGAGAACGCTTTCGTGCAGCCCTGGAACTCGCAAACGTACGGTCGCTCTCCTGTGTGCGACCTCAGGTGAGTCTTAAGATTTTCTAACCTGGAATATGCTTTATTACATCCTTCAAACTGAAATCAGATAAAATAATCATTAGGAAAATTTAAAATACATATCTAGTTAGTGTGAGTAGTTCTGTACTCAATTTGTGATTTGAGATTCGGTCTCTCAACTTTGAGTTAAGTAGTCTGATTCTTGTCATTTTAACATTTTATTTCAAATATAGTGGCTTTGAAGTATATGCAAGAAATATGTATTATGTTTTGCAGCATCTATGACAATCAACTACCATTCTATTCCTCAAACAAAACATAGTCATTTCTCCATCAACATACATTTACCCAAACTGATGACGATTCCAATAGCCACATTTTGTTTTTTAATTTTATATTTTTGTTTTATTGAACTTCATTCTCAAGAGCCAAGTATATGGCAAGCAGTGGTATTCCCTTTAAAGGATAAATAAGCTCAGCTCTACATAAACCAAGTCTTATGATACTTAAGGAGTACAGTGTCTTTTGGTTGTGAGAGAAATTCCTTTACTATGAGAGGAATTGAGTCCAAGAGACTAGGACTGGAAGGCAAGCATCTATACTCAACAAGCTATTCAACACAGACTACAAACAACATATTTGTGAAGCACATAAAAAGGCTTCAAAATTACTTTGCTTGTCACATAAAAAATAGTAAGAATGAACAATTATAATAAAACACATGAAATGGTATGTATATTTACAGGTATAAACAGATTAGTTGCTTATTTTTGAGCTCCTGTATAAACAAATCGAAAACAAGAAACGCCCATGATATCTGATGACATCCAGATTGTGAATTTGGGGAGGTCTTTCAGATTCATTTTAATATCTCTATTCAGATCCCTAAGTAGATCCTATCTAGTTGGTAACCATGGCCACAGCATGTGTTTCATACACAGTCAAGCTTAAGTTGGTTTGTTTAAACCTGATACAGAACCTTATTTATTTATGTCCAAACTATAATATAACAAGTACCAGTTTTTACCAGTTATATAGGTGTGGTATGAAATAATCATACTTGTCATATATGGATGTTAATGATATCATCATGGATACATGGGATGACATCATAATGAATCCCATAATGAATGTGATATGACAACACTAAAATGACTCAATAATTGTTTGTTTGGCGAATAACATTCTCAAATGATGTAGAGAGCCTCATTTACTATAAGCTGTTAATTAGCGTTGGCAGACTCAAATATATTAACAAAAAAAAATCTATGTTTGAGAATTCTTTGTAAATGTTTCAATTCTGCAAGATGTTAAAAAACAAACAATTATATTAATACTACATTTGTTATTTTTTTTCTGTCACTGAATTTATGTCATGTCAAACACATTATCATTTCTTCTTCCAACAGGTGTTTTTTTTTTCAAAATGTTGTACTTGTTAGTTTTAATGTTCTAATATTTTGTGTACAACCATATTTTAAGCTTAAATTTTTAAGTGTATTTTTAGCAACTGGCAAAAAAAATTTCTCTGTTCATTTGTTTGATTGATGAAAGTATTCTTTATTTGATTCTGTAAATAGTGAATGGAGACAATACCCTACTCTTTTCCGAAGAGTGTACTGTGTTCTTTAACATGCACATGGGCCATAAGTGCACACGGGACCAACACCTTAAACGTCTCATCTGAAAGATGGTGCGCTATTGTAACTTATATTTCAGCCCTCCAGCTGAAACACTAGGAGAGGCAGTTATGGAAATTTGACCGGGGACCACGGTTCAACGCACACACAGTGGCTACCACCATACTGAGCTAAGCTGCTCCTTTTAAGTTTCTTTTAAATAATAAATGTGATAACATCGGCAACTTACAGTGCATTTGTGAGGTTTCTCCCCAGTATGCCTCCTCATGTGAACTACCAGCATGTACTGCGCTTTAAATGGCTTCTCCTCACGTATACAATCACGCCAGTGACAAATAAACTCCTTCTTTTCGTTGTGAATGTGATCATTATTAATATGCTGTAGAAAATAAATAATTGTAAAATTCAGTAAGATTGAAAAAATTTAATAAGATAATGCAATTAAGTTAGCTACTCAATACTGAATAATTAAAATCATGAAGCATTCTGCAAATTAGGTTGCATTTCAGAAATATAATTTAGTTTTCTTGTAAGAAAATACAAGGTATATTAAAGTACCAACTCCATAACTGTTGGTGGTTAAATGGAAGCATATGTGTTGAAGACAAGCTAAATCAGACACTCTTCGCAAAACGTCTTTTTTTGGAGGTAATGTCCAAAACATGTTAGAATGTCAAAAATGTTGAAATCTAAATTACACTAAACTATACATCTATGTTGTTATTGTCCTCATTTTCGATTTGCTGAAGGTCTCTGCCTGAGAAATGGCTGATTGTAAACTTTAAAAGCAGATTTCTCAAATACTGTTCTTTAAACAGAGATGTATGCTTAAACTCCTGTAACTACTTAACAAAATGTCAGATTTTAATGATTCCTTTTACCATTTTATAACTTTCATTTTGCTGCTAAAGCCTGTATTAATAACTGAAAATCTATTTTTGTGAGAAGCGACAGGTTTGGCTTGGTTTTGCCACACATTTGCTACCAAGCATTCTGTTATGTTTACTAGATGTAAACTAAAGATACATACTCTACAAGGTGAAACTTAAAACCCTCAAAAATTTAATGAAAAATAATTAAATTGCATATTATCCCTCCTCGTCAAATTTATATGAACATCTCTTAAAGGAATTTGTTTTTCAAACTTACGTGTACAAGTTCTTCCAGTGTGTTACAATGGAGGCTACAATCCCCCCACTCACAGTCTGTGACTGGTGGTATCTCTTCCTCATGTTTCATATCCTCATCTTTAACCGCCATCACAGCAGACTTTTCCGCAGACGTGGATGACACGATACTTGCAGGCGACTTGAAGGGTTCCTCTTTGATGCGGCTTCTCTTGGAGTCCGGATCGACTGTACTGCTCACTACATTGTTGTTAGTTTCTCCTAAGTTCACCTATAGACAAATTTTAATGCAGGATTGAAATCATTTTCCAAAGATAGCATCACATCAAATCATAAAAAGGATTTATATTTTTTATCAGGGCCAGATTAACATACAGGCCCTAATGGGGAAAAATCTGGTTTTATATTTTAGCCACAGACTATTTATGCATACTTGCAATTACAGCCCCAGCTTTAGGTTAGCTTGTAAGATGTTTTGATTCAATATGTGATTTATGCAAAATAACAATATAAAGTATTCAAACTGACCTACAAAAACATAAATATGAAACATTTTGAATGTTACACAAATTAATTGGACAGAAACTCTCCCCCATTACATTCAGAAGCAACATTTATTTGAAGTATAATTATACTAATATAATGCTGTCAGGTGGCAAAAACATTAGTTGAGGGGTAGGTGGAAAAAAGCTTTTGCTCATGGGGTAGCAAAATTTTGTGGTGCCATTGTTGCGTAAAATTCTTCATTGGATAGCGTCTATTATACTGTATATGTGCTTAATAAACATAGTTTTCAAGGCCTTAATACAAACCTCTGCTGGGTAGCTCTGCTGGTGAGAGTGGTGGTGATGGTGATGTGACTTGCAAGGCTGTTCCTGTAGGCTGGGTGGATGATGGCCATGGGCATGTGAGAAGAGTGCAGCCATGCCATGATGTGGGTAGCCGTGACCAGGAATATGTTGGGCTGGACTAGTAGCCGGCAAGTATGGATTACCGCTCCGATGCCGCATCAGCTGCTGTTGCAGTTGCTGGAGATGTGCGATCGGCGTCACAGGATGATGCCAATTCATCGGGCTCACCGCCCCGGCTGAGAGGTGACCGTAGGAGCCGCTTGCTGCTGATGAGCTTCGGGAATTGTTGATGTACGCTACAAGCGAGTTTGGTGACGTACGTATCATGGCATTGATATCAATAGTTTCGGAAAATGGTGATATTGAAAGTGCACGCTTCCTGCTAAGACGAGCTGATGGCTTTGGACTTGAGAATCTTGAACCTACGAATATACAAGAAATCCGATAGTGAATATGTTCAACTTTTCATAAATCAGTCATTTATGTACTGTATAAGCGAGATATAATATTTTAGGATAATTGGATAACACTCAGAGCTCTACAAACCTTCAACTGATGAAGCAAACTCCAGAGATGGATGTTCGATGCTCCCAGCTGTGCTAGGGGGCCCTGTTAGCTCAGATCCATGAGGAGGGAATGCAACCATATGTGGCAAGTAAACACTGGGATGACCTGTGGGCAAAAAATATTATCAAGCATGAGATATGATGGAAGATCGATTACAGGCTATATATGGAGGCAGAGATGGGGGTAAGGAGAGTGGGCAGTGATGTAAAAATGTTGTTAGTAATAGTTGTAAGAAATAAAGCAGAAAATTGAGGGGTATTTTTCTTTATCATGAGAACAAATCTTACCTAGCAGTACAGTAGCATTATTGTCCCAAAAAACACACATGAAATCCCACAAATGCATGTTGACCCACAAATGCATGTTGACCCACAAACGCACATGCTTATGTACATATGCTATCGTTTTGTGGCATTGTAACAACGGTATCCAATGGGGCGGGTTTTAGCGGAAGAACACTTGATGCTACTTTAGTCAATATACACACACACTTTAAAACCATTTTACTTACTATGATGACCACTGGGACTGAGTCCTCTGGCATGAGACAGTACTGAAATTGTTGGGCTATCCATGTATTGATAATATGGATAGATAGGAGATTCTGGATGGGAACTACCACTCCTCTGAGTGGGCAGCCTTATGAATGAGATGTCAGAGAGAACAGGACTTGCTCCGTGGGTGTGTCTGGCAAAAAAAAAGAAAGCCAAAAATGATTAAAAATATAGTAAGACTCCACCTACAGTATGTTCCCAGGCTAAACTCTAATAAATAATAACAAAACCAATATACTTTAGAATTGCAAGAGGCCCGACTGCCCTGATTTTGTATGCACATAAAAAGCACTGCCACAAGATATGGGGGGGGGGGGGGGGGCGCCCTATTAGAATTTGCATAGAGTTCGAAAATCAAACATGCACGTAGCACACATTCGATACGGGCTTTTCTCCATACATGTAAGTTCCAGTTACAGAATTATTTTTTTAGTTTGTTATACTTGGAGTACATCAGATACAATCTGTTTTACCACATTACCAATTCTGACTTTCTTTATATAGACTATTGGCTCACAACCTTTCATTTTTTGCACGTAGCACACTTTCGATATGGGCATCTTTTATGGACGCCCTTTCGTGGCAGTACTTTTTGAAATAGGATTACGTTCCAATGAAACCACAGGAGTCACAACTCTTGCAGTTCAATATAATTGAGAAAACACTCAATTATGTATGACAAAATATATTTTTTCTCCATACATGTAAGTTCCAGTTACAGAATTATTTTTTTAGTTTGTTATACTTGGAGTACATCAGATACAATCTGTTTTACCACATTACCAATTCTGACTTTCTTTATATAGACTATTGGCTCACAACCTTTCATTTTTTGCACGTAGCACACTTTCGATATGGGCATCTTTTATGGACGCCCTTTCGTGGCAGTACTTTTTGAAATAGGATTACGTTCCAATGAAACCACAGGAGTCACAACTCTTGCAGTTCAATATAATTGAGAAAACACTCAATTATGTATGACAAAATATATTTTTTCTCCATACATGTAAGTTCCAGTTACAGAATTATTTTTTTAGTTTGTTATACTTGGAGTACATCAGATACAATCTGTTTTACCACATTACCAATTCTGACTTTCTTTATATAGACTATTGGCTCACAACCTTTCATTTTTTGCCGTTAATCTAGTCATTACCAAATAAAAAATATAACATTTGCATATTATACAACAATACAATAATTGCACAAGAAGTAACAAGACAAGAAATCATTGCATTTTTTCCTTTATTCAAGACTCATAATTAGTTAATTTAAAATTACAAGAAATAGGAATTCATTGAAACTAGCATAAATATATCCCAGAATTACAGGTTAATTACAAAAATAATGCATACATTATGTAAAACACTTGATTCTGAGAAGGCATCTGGTCAAAGGTCAAACAATGACATTGTGTTTCTGAAATCCATCACCTTTATGGACCTGGCACCAGACTGTAATTTTTATTCTTTCAGGATGGCAGAGGTCACTTCCAAAGTTTGTATGTTGTAGCTATAATATGATTCTAATTTATAACATTACCTAGAGAAGTTAGATGGTTAACAGATTGTAGACTTCTTTTTTGGGCATATACAAACAACTGTTTTGTGGTTTATGGAAATTGAATTGGGTCCTCAACAATTTTAATCCGAGATGTACGCATATTCTCTCTAGGTTTGCCGCAAACCTGCAGTCCAACAGTATCCTTGCCTGATTATCTCATTCTCAAACATTTGTAAAGATGGCAGTTACTGTATCCTCATTGTGTTAAATTGTTACACTATTATACTGTACTGTAGTTTGCCAAATAATTTATAAAGTCTGCCACACCTCTGCAATATTGGATCAAAAGTTTGTAAACCAAGGGTTTGAGACAACCAATAATTTGGATATTTTAGCTAAGAGCTATGAATCATACCAAATTATTAGATTTCATGGAATTGTCAGATGACCTTTTGCCCATGGTGCTGTAAACTGGTGAAGGTTTGTTGACCTCGTCTTTAGTTATTTCATGATTTAGAACCCCATTAACCTAGTCATTTCAATCAGCTACTCATTACAGTATGCTGAGTAACTTGATTTAGAATATTATTAACTTGCTCATTTGATAGTCAAACTATAAATTACATAGCTTGATAGCATTATTGGAAAAAGTGGGAGAGTTGTAAATCGGTGACCTTAAGATTTCATTCATGCATATGTCAATATAGGCCTATAACTGTTTCATTTAAGATTTGTTTTCAGGATATCTTTAGGTTCCTTTTTTCAAACTTCAGAATATTTCTTCTTGCATCTATTACATGTCTTCAGGTTGATGATTTTTGTTGAAAAACACACACAGGATGCACACACACACACACACACACACACACCCACCCCCACCCACAGGATGCTCATTCCTCTGCATCTTTTTTGGGATGCAGAGGTGATCACACACTCATTCACATCTTGTCAAACACTTTTGTTTAATGTGCTACGTAGCCACATGTATTGAACTTGACTTCTATTCTAGCTGTCTCAGGCAGTATCTGGTTTATTATTGGCCATAAAATATTCTGGTTTGTGGTGTCTTACTTTTCCATGTCTTCCATGAGACAGCGAAGCATAAAGTATTCTGCTACGGAATACAGAATTCTGATACTCTTTTTTATCGTTTTTCAAATGTTCCATCTTTTTTGGTTGGTACTTCATCTTCAACAACCTTTCTCGAAATTATCTATCTCTGCTTGCTGTCTAATTACACCAATGACATCTTGTTGTGGCTTCTAGGAGTGACATCTTCTGCTTGCTCATCTTTATTTTCCCCCAGTCTCTGAAAAAGTTGTTCCAGTTGGCATGGTTTTCACCTGCTACATTACACAAGGAAAATCTACTCCAGCCACCTCAGACAGCACCTGCTTACTTGCCAAAACGTTTTCTGGTTTGTAGTGTCTTCATATAACTCATACAAACAGAGTGGTAGACCAAAAGTAAGTGCAACAATGTCTGCAGTGGTTGTGTTTCCCGTTGATGTATGCATATTCTTCTGCCAGTACACCATGTCTGTCTGTTTTTGTCAATTGAGAGGGCAACCTCTATCATCTGTGTGCTGGACTTAAACCCACTGTATGTTGATTATTAAAAGCACTGCTGTTTGTCGCATAGCAAACAAATTATCTTTCTTTTAACATTTTTGCTTGAAGTCTGCCAGTGGCAATATTTTTTCATCCTTTTCCTGGCATTGCAGGCATTGATTGTAAAATTCTTAATTTAAAACCAAGGTTCTTGCATATTGGTGATCCCTTCTCTCTAACTTGCAACTCGCATTTTGTATTTTAAAATTGAGATTACCATACAAGTTGATCTCTCTTGTCTTGCTAATTTATAGTAAGCTGAGCAGCTTGATAGATAACTCACAGTAAGCTTGAGACCCTGTCTGATAGTGTAGGTAATTAAATTATACTTCACATTCCCAGAATTTTCATCCAGTATAGATACAATCTTCCATAGGTGACTGTACCTATGAAGTTGTAAATGAAAAATAGTCACTAACAATTGTTTTAAAGCTATTTATTAATAAATATACAGTAGGTAATAATATTTTACACTTTCCGCATTATCTATCATTTAGTATGCGGTCTTTAGATAACATTAAAAGTTGTGTTCTAATGGTGTTTGCATCAGAAGATTTTAATGAAAATGTTGTTTTGCCCTAATATTCCCACCTGAATCACTTGCGAGATTTTTGCCTAAGTACTGTATTTGAGAACGTACTGAGCATTAATGCAGTAGGATTACACACCTGGTAGGGCAAACATTCCTTTTCAAATTTTGACTACAGCAGTCTGTATCTGTTTGTTGCAAAATGATTTAAATTAAATCACAGTAAAAGGAACAATTAATAGAAGTCACCTGATTGGACAATTCATAATCCAAGCTTTGTTCTATGCTGATATGGTGTAAATAAATTTCTTAAATCTATTTTTAAAAAGTTTTGGACAGATTTTCAGAAAGAAAAACTTTAAAAGCTTATTGATTCTTCACATCTACTTTTATTGTTCAATTTATTTAATAAACAAATTAATAATTTCAAAATAAGGATACATATACTAAGTTTAGTTATTAATTGAATAACATATGGAATAACATGAAAAACATAATAAAAACTCTTTTTCAGATGTCGTGTTACAAAAAAGAAAATTAAATTTCCTAAGACACTTGGAAAAGACAACGATACTTGCAACTCCGCAGGAGCTGCTGTAAAATGGCCACTAGAAACCCAATGCCAAATTGCATTTACTTTCTAAACAACTTTTCCTTGAAGGCCCCTGAATAGGTTAGGAGGGCAACTCATTTAAAGAGCGATCATGATTGGTCGAAAGATTAGAAGGCAAGATGGTTCAAATTACAACACAAATTCTTGAGGGTAAAAATCCTTACCAATGGTGAGTGATGTTGCTATGGTTTTGCCCTGTACTTTACATACTACCACAGCAGAGGCATTTTTAATTTTTAGAATGCCTTCTAGGCTGGACCATGGAGCTGATATCTATGTTAATAATGTTCTAAATTAGGCCGGCGACTTTTGAAGTTTAAGAAGGTAATAGAAAAATAGTGGCAGTTATACCTAAGGAATACGCAGAATGTATAATTACTTTACACATGATCTGATTGGTTGATTCATAATTTAAAATATTATCTCAAGCATAAGCGATTTGTATACGTCAAAAATGATAAACGAGGAAAAGATATGGTGCTGATATCAATGTTAATAATGTTCTAAATTAGGCCTGACTCTTTTGAAGTTTTAAGAGGGTAAAGGAATAGTGGTGGCAGTTATACCTGAATATCATTATATCAATTATTAAATAATATATATGATACACTAATAAAGATAATGATACACAATAAAAGATAATGGAAACACTGACAGTTACAAATATAATTAAAAGTGTTTAAAAACAACTCTTGCGGTAACAAGTTCTAGTAGCTGTCAGCCACATGCTAAATATAATTTTTTTTAAAGTCCTGTGTTCTTGTGTTAATGTTTGTAAATAAATATATAAATAAATAAAAAAATGTGTCATGAAAATAAAGGGGCTTAGGGCTACAAATTTAATATTCTAATGATCTTTTTTATTTACATTCATTTTGGGCATGATGTTGAAAGAATGAATGACGATAACTGGGTCAAGAAGTGTAGGGTGATGAAAGTTGAGGGAACCAAAGTTAGAGGAAGGTAGGAAGACATGGGAGTAAGTTGCTGCCAGTGATCTCCACAAGTTAAGGATAAGCCGTGCAACTGCTTAGAATAGAAATGGCTGGAGAAAAGCTATCATGGTGAACAGTCCAACCCATGGTAGCATGGATTAATTACGGACTTTAAATTGATAATGATTTTATTTATTTATGGATCAAGAATTGCTAATTATAAGTGGCACAAAAAAAGGGAGTGGAGCTTTGATTGGTAGCTGATGTTTGGCAGGATTTGATCATGGGATTAAAAAGGCAAGAATTTTAATAACTACCATGCTACAGCTACAAGTATTAGTATCCTTGAATAAATATTATTTTTATTAGACTTTTTTGTTTTTTGTTTTATTTTAATATCTAAAAATGTTATCCTTCCAACAGGATGAAACAATGTTCTATAAATATAAAGTCTCTTTTTAAGAAGTTGGGTTAGGATTTGGACCCAGAACTCTAAGATTGAAAGGTAAGCACCTTACCCACCAAACTTCACAATCACTGACTTATAATGAGTAAAATATTCACAGACTAAAATGACCTCTAACTTTGCTTCTAATTGAAATCAGTGTTGACTTGTTTTTGTTAAAAAAGATAAACTCACAGCAGTAGCCTCACTCAAAAGGAATTTTGTGGTTTCATAAATATTTACTCTTAATTTAGTAGGAAATGGCTTGACAGTAGCCAGAGAAAAAAATATTTATGTTGATTAAAGCCCACCACATCTATTCCATACAGTAAAGTAACAGATACCTTCACACACTTGATATCTATGGTATACAACATCATCCTAGAGTACCACAGGATGACCTTAGGTACTACACACTTGACCCATGGGAGGTAAAAGGTAACTTATTTTTCCATGCTTGACCCAACAACACTACAAGTTTCACCTCTTTTGAAAATAACAAATGCCTCACTTTAAATCTTTAAATTTTCATTTCATTTCATTAAATTTGCTTATTTGCCTTAGTAAATTATAAAATAATTAATAAATGTAATACACTATATCTTTATTTGTAAAAGCCACATTAAAGACACAATTATACACTTGGTGGACCAGAAGCTAGATTGAGTGTATATACATGTGTAAAGAGTTACTTGCAAAAATTATATCGTATTTATCCTAATAAATACCTCAGGGCGTTTATTGCTAAAAGGGTTTTTGAGGGGGCGTTCATTCGAGGGAGGTGTTTATTCGATTGAGGCATCTATTTATTTTGGTGTAAAATGGATACGTATACTCAAATAAACTACTCTTAATTACACTGTAAATGCAGAACTACAACACAATTACCGTCAAAATGTGTTATTCTGTGAATGAACGTAAAAAATTGATCCAAAGCAGGTTAGAAAAAAATGTAATTCTACTACTAGAACATAACAGAATGTGTTGAGAATAATCTTGCTTCCAATAGATTTGTTTACAGTCATTTAAGGGGGCGTTTTTCAAGGAAAAATTAAACGCACTGTGAGTTTATTCGAGGTAGGCGTTTATTCTAAATGAGGTTCTAGAGGGATTGTTTATCAAAGTGGGGCATTTAATTCAAATGAATATGGTACATAAAAATATTAATTCAAGTAAAGAATACAATAATATTGTACAAAAGCAAGAGATTAAGACTTAATCATAAAAATAAATATTGGAAATTAACTTACTCATCTTCTACTATCTGTAGCATAACAATTATGTTTACCCCCTTAATTTCACCATGGAAAAATGACAAAGAATGATAGTACCACATGCAAAAAGGTGTTAGTTATTTCAAAGAACAAGAACATTTAATATTATAATTGTGAAGAGTTTTTACCCTGGTATTGGATGGTGCATATGAGGTTCAAAATGGTATCTGCCTTCGTGGGTCCTTGCGTCCACTGGTATTGGTGGATGGTAAGCGTAATGCCCTTCTATTGCTGTAGGGACACCTATACAAAAGAGAAAAATTTCATCAGAGGATAAAAATATAAAAGCATATTAAATATTATCTAACATTTGGCAACATTTTAAACAGTTCTTTAATTCTATAAATTTAGGAAAGATGCCAAAACACTTTATAACTTTAAAAACAAATTTATATCGGCTTCTTTTCCCAACTTGATTTCTTGTCTCGACACCGGATTATTAATCATAAAGTCATCTACTGTACTGTATGATGCTTCCAAGCATTCTCGACCAAAGAAGTTCTTCAATTTGTTTTTTTTTTATTAAAAAGTTATCTGATGTCTTGCACATTTTAGGACATTGTACCATTTAGCTCATGGATGAAATATTAAAAAATGTCATTGTTTTTAATGAAAACCCAAAAGAAATTTTGTGAAGCCAAAAGATTATAATTGGGAATTCAATTCGCATGTTAAAGCTGCTCAATCTGAAAGAAAAATCAGTGGTTAAGCCTCCTTAAAAACTTTTAAGTCAGTTTGGAAAGAGGAATTGGTAAAAAGAACAAGTGCCAGAGATAACAAGCAGCAAATTAGAAACAAATCTTTTATCATGTTTTAATTAGATTTGTTTCTACTCAAACCAAGCCAAACAAATTTGTAAGTGTCTCTCACAGAATCAACAATTCAGATAATGAAACACTCGTCTATAAACACTTTCATTATCAATGACTAAGACTTGTCTCTTTAAAACACAAGAATTTTAAAGCAAGGATACATTCTCACGTATAGAGTCTTTAATTTAGCTAACATTTTACAGGTACAGCTTAAATCGCTTTAATCCATTGGCAATCCTAAATCTCTTAAATACAGCTTAGTAAGGTCTTTGTTCTTGCCATAATGGGTTTCACAAGTAATTACTGACCACTGGCACTGCTACTGAATACTTTCTATTCTAGAGTTTGTTTTTTAACTTTCCATTGAGCAAATTTTAACCAATGAAAACTTGACAAAACATAGCATTAAATAATTAGCTATAATAGCAGTAGGCAAGGTAAACTAGATATTTTTTTTTATCTATCTGTCAATACAAAAATATAATTTTACTAAAATTATTGAAACACAATAGATTACTAAATAATATTGTAGATTTATAAAACTATATGGAAATGAATGAATAAAGTTTAAAATACTTTGTCGGAGTTTGATTCATACTCATTTAAACCTTATTGGTAAATGCTGCCTCCCCCCCCCCCACCACCTACATAGTATCTGATGGTAAACACATTCCCCTTCCCCCATAGTATCTGGTAGATACTTATTCCATGAATGGAACATATTCATAGGAGGTTAACTTGTAATTAAAAATACTGTATTATTCATTTTTCATCCATAAACATTTTTTATAAAATACTTAAAATTAAAAGAAAGTGATGTTGAGAGAAGAGAGTACAAACCATAACGGCGGTCCATAGCTAAACCATTGCGAGAGTCGAGAATGTACGTTGGCTGACCATAGTGGGTAATATGCGAATAACGAAATGGACTTGGCTCTTTGTTCGTTCTTTGGTGTGGTGGTGGAGATCTGCTACTCTGACGTTGATGTGAGGTCTTCTCCCTGCTTCCTCTTGGTGCTGCGGTGGCTGCTACATCATCAGATGATGAGGGTGCTATGTCCTCCGGCAGTTTGGTTGTCGGACTTGGTACACGTGTAGTTTCTGTGTAAGATAATAATAAATTATTTATTTCTATAGATAGGTTAAAACCCTTTAGAATTTTTGAAAATCAAATGTTAACTATCCCAGTATATCTTTGCAAACTGCAGTTTTGAAGCTTCAGTTATTTTTTTGATAAATAATAATTTGAAATTTGTACTCTACAGTAGTTCAATTTATTTATTTAGGCCCCCATCAGGAAAACAGTTTTGGAGTATTTGTTTTTTTGTGAAGTTGGTCTTACACCTGGATGTACTAAACCGTCTGTTAATTACCCATATTTTAACAATTGTCAATGAATTTTAAATCCTTTCTATGATGTTGATCAAATACAGTAGAGGTCAATGACCCTGTTGACATTCTAAGCGAGGACACCTTTTTTGCTGTTTTTAAATAGGTTTCTACTACTATCAAGTACCATAATGCTTTTTGACATTGTGTTTTTCTGATTCACTTTTTATGGGAACTATTAAACAACAGTTGTATAACACAAGTCTAATTTTTTTTATAAAAAAAAAACAAAACAAAATTAAAAAACAAAATAAGCTTATATAAATATTCCTCGTGTGAATTAGTAACTTTATTTTGTCATTACTAAATGAAATTTTCTTGAATTTTTAAAACTAGTCCAACTGAAGGTCTGACCTTAAAACCATGTTCTCAAATATCATATTAAGTAACAAGATCTAACAAACAAGAGAAGTTGTTACAAATTTGAAACTTCAGGTTTAATGGTAGAATAACAGAGAAGTAACAAAATGCCTGCTGAAATCCCAACAGGTCATCTCCAAAATATCTGGCATTTTTAAAGATTCTTGAAAGCATACAGAACTACTACAGGTAAAGAAGAAGCTACTCAACCAGTTGGCACCAGGTTAAAGTACTGTATGTCAAAGACCACCCACCAAGTAAATAATTAAATCTCAGGGGTACTTAGCAAAATATTATTCATCTGTACATGATTCTTGCTATAAAAATGTTAGCATTAATATATTTATTTCTGGTAAAGTTGGAAAAACACATTACAGTATTAAATTTCTTCAACATTTTAAATATCAGGCCAATTGAAAAAACACTTTCTTGTATCTTTCGCTTGATGTAATTCTTGTCACATGCAATTAGGCGAGACTATCTTTATTCCTTGTTTAGTGAACCCCCCTTTTTTTTCTTGTTGTAGGAACTGCTTTATTATGCCATGGAAGTATAATTTATACCTCCTTGACTGTATTACTGGTATAAAGTATTACTGTAAGATTTGTCAGAGTTTCTGACAAGGTCTTATAATACTGTACATGGCTATTTGTTTTGTTTAATTGAATTGTTCTGACATTACAACCAAGTCATAAACATCAATAATTAAAATACAAGAAATAATTTGCAATGAAATGTATCCAATGAAATAAATATAAACAAATCAGGAAGACTAAAAGCAACTCAAAACCGACTTAAAAACTTTTTTCTCTCAAGTGCAATTGGTCTCTATTAAACAGAACACAGAGTAGGTGAAGTTTTTGTACAAATACAAGACAGTACTTTATAGTTGCAATTTTATATGTTTCTTATAGTTTAATTAGGTATTAAGAACTCTATGATGTTCAATTTACGTAACTTTTTAAATATTTATGTACGTTTGATGTAGTTTATAACTCTGTGGTATCTTTTTACACTTTTTATGAATGTTTTTGATGGATCTTGTACTTAATATTTTAATTAATTTTATGTGTGTGTATTTTAACTCAGGAAAACAAATTTCACGTGTTTTATGTGATTGATACAATAAATCTGAATCTGAATCTAAAATAAAATGACCATACTACTATATAGTTTCCATTTAAAATTTAGCTTAAGGCTAAATAAAACAATTAGTTTATCACCCCCTATCTAGGATGGAATAGAAAAGTGATGACAGGGAGAGCCTTTTTATTTCTTATTTTTATTAAATTGTTAAAGCCAAATACCACCTTTGGGATTGCTTGATGGTGCATTGATATTCAAAGTAAAAAACATGATTTAGAAATAGTATATGTAACTAAAAAAAAAATCCTATTTTTTTAAATACGATAGAAGACATGTGGGCGGGGATAATAAATTTATCATTTTTTATTGGGCCTTATGAATCAAAAATAAATTCAATTTTCAATGAATAAACATTTTCAATATATAATTAATTAAATTAAATCACTATCCTGAAAAGTGAATTAAACTGCAATAGTTTAAAAAACAAAAAGCATAAATATTCTAGAATAAGTATAGGTGCAATAGGTTGTCCACGATCAAGCAACCAATGATTGGCATAAATTAAACAATTACAAATGAATGAGTAGCTACCAAAGTATTTGGAATGATAATACAAATACCAATTAAGCTAATCCTAGTATTATATGAGTCACCAGGAGATTAATTAAATCACTGTTTTATCAATGGAAGATATTAATTAAAAAGATGTTGTAGTACATAGGTACAGGAAACACTAACTACCATGAATCTACCATAGTACTTTGTGTATATGAGCCCACTACCTTCTCAGCATGAAATTGTGTAGATTTTGGTGGAGTCAACTTATATACTCGGGCTCCCCTAATCATGCAAATAAAGATTGGCAAATTTTAAAAGTTACGCCAAATACAAATTTCCCTTGAAAGTACATCTTTATACAGTAATGTCTGAGGTAGTACTGAAATGTATAATCAGGTGTAGGAGGTAGGCTTAATACTAAAGGAACTATGGTGTAAGTCCTATGAGTGAATTACCAGGCTTATGTTACAATTAACAACCAATTCAACATTATTTTCCAATACTCTGCTAGTAGTAGCAGGAAGCAATACAAGATAATTACCCTATTCAGAATAAACTTTTGTTACTCTATCTGTTTTAAACAGCTGTAATCTAGAATCGTTTACTACCAAATTGTTAGGGGCTTGTAAAATAAAAATAAAATAGATGGAAAATTTAATTGAGAGATTCGCTATTTAAATTCTTAAAATCATTCTTGTGATTTCCGTTTTTCCCTGAAATTCCTTAACTAGATGTTTGCAATCTAATCTAATGTTGCTTCCTTCATTAGAAATACTCGGTGGCTAAAACATAAAACCAGATTTTTGATAATTTGTCCTGGGGTTCGGGGGCCTATTTTTCCACATTGGGGCCTGTAGTTGGCGCCCTAAAGCCCCACGTTAGTCTGGCCCTGGACACAACATATCAGTGGTCCCAAGCTGGGAGAGCTTTCTTTAACATATATTTAATTTTGCTGTGCACTCTCATACCCATCACCACTGACTTCCATGAAATAATTGATAATAAAGTAGTAAAAACATTTAAATTATGAATTTGTGGAAAATGGGTTATTTTCCGGAAATGATTGTTTGCTTGTGGGAGTGCAGAAGGCCGGCCCAATTACCGGGATACTCCCGACCCCTGAATTATAGTAAATAAGTGATTAATGTAATGGGATTTGACTTTATTTAGCTACCAGTATAGTAAATTTTAGTTTTAAGCAATACTGTACAATTAACCACCTGATCTGATAAAACTGTTTATTCTTTATTCTATTTAGGATTTGATTATATAATTAATCAATTCAATCAAAAAGTGGTGAAATCCAATTAAAATAGTTTATTAATAAACAATATAAACTGCTGTACAAGTCTTTAATAATCAGTAATTGATAACAGTCTGAACTACTACTACTAGTAAATTGGAACAAGCTTCCGCATAGCCTGCACAGTGCATTCACCTGTATGTAGGCAAAATCAAGAATGAAAAACATTTTATTATTGATTCCTCAAAGTGCTACCCATTTTTATAGGCCTACTGACTTAGAGGTAGTGGCTCTTTATTCAGCGGGAGGAGTGGCAAAGCCCTCTGACAAGTCTGAACATTTTTGTCAGCAGTGGTCTTATCTACTTTGGGGGAGGGACACACCCCCCAGTTTGAAGCAAAAAAATCATGCTCAAGTAGTAAAAATCACCTCAAATATCCTTATTTTGCAAGCTGGCTCCCCTTACAATTACATAATCATCAGCCCCCCCCCCCCCCACTTTCAAGACTCCTAGTTAAGCCACTGTGTCAGTGGGGGTTTGCTAGGCCCTAGTTACCTTCACTAAGGTCAGTAAAATTGGACAAACGTGGGTAATTTTGGGTCATTTTGAGCAGCTCTGGCATGTTTTAAGGTAATAATATGCAAGTAGTGTTTTGTTAAAATATTTTTTTGCTTTAGACGAGTCATGGCTTTGTCTGATTTTACAACAACTATTAAGAAATGAATCTACAGTACATATCCAAATTCACTAGCCATGTATACAATATGATGTATGGAGCATGCAAAGTTAAATTATTTGGATTGTTTTTTTTTTTTATTGTTTTTTTTTTACTTTTCTGTATTTTTATGTAAGATTAGCTTTTCAATTGAAAATTAGAACAACAAAACAGAATTCTTGCCAATTAACCAATGCAAATTGTTTATTTTTCTGCGGAAGCCTGTTCTTAAGGATGCGAGAAAGAGAACCAATCTTAGATGACATTGCCGGTGTGACAGAATGCAATAAACAAGAGGAAGCTCAGCTATGAGAGATAGCCATTCTGTTGAACTTACAATAAACATTCAGGTCTTTAGAAGATGATATGTTTAGCAAAAGGTATTGGGTCTTTCATTATTGCTTATACAGCGTTGAATTAGAATATCCAAGCGTTTTTTCAATAACATTTAAAAATACCATTTAAATTTCAGTATACTTGTTTATGACAGATTTATTTTCAAAAATTAAAAAGTAAGCTTGAACATCAGAGCCTACAAAACTCTATAAACAATTAAATTATTAATTTGGCTTTAAATGCAAATAACTTTTAAAAACAATCTTAGTCATTGTAATATTTTTACTCATTCATTTACGGACTATTATTTAAGATCTTTCATCCAATTTTCATATAACTTTTGATTTATTTATGTATTTCATTTCATGTATTTTTAAAATAAATTTTGACCACAAATGAGAACTGTCCTGAAT